GCAAGTCCAACCCATATAAATAATATAATCTTGAAAGTTTACATTTTCCCAATTAGATAACAGTTAACTTTTGACTTTCTTTACAAATTTCAGCAACACTATAGTTACTGGCCCCTGAACAATCAGACAAAACGGGCAAAACAAGAAGAACTCCCTGACGAAGAGACATGGATCACACGAAAAATCCGTGTTTTTGCCAAAACTGGTAAAGTTGTATATATGGCAGGATATTTTCAGATTATTACTGAAATAAATTGCAATGACATTGACTTCCTCATTCCATTAACATTTCATCCCTAGATGATTTCGAGAGGGCATTAAGGTGGAGTAAAAATGCTGAATTGAATTCCTCTGTAGAAAGCGACACTGACATTAACTTCAAGAGGCCAACCAGAAAACCAAGCAGATTCCAAGACAGCAGCGATGGTATGAGAACATTACAAGCACAGTAAAATGGCTAAAAATTTAAAACATGTCACATTAAACGGATAGTTCACCCAAAAATGAAAATTCTGTCATTATTTACTCACCTTAAAGTTGTTCTAAACCTGTATGACTTACTTTGTTCTGGTAAACACAGAATATATTTTAGATAATGTTGGTAATGAAATATTAGCTGGGCTTCACTGACTTTCAAAGTATGAAAAAAAACATGCTATGGGAGTCATTGGGAACCAGAAACTGTTGCCAACATTCTTCAAAATATCTGTTGTATTCAGCAGAACAAAGAAACTCACACTGGTTTGTAACAACAAGGTGAGAAAACTATGACAGAATTGTTATTTTTGTGAGAACTATCCCTTTCGTTTCAATAAGTGAATAAAGTATTCCTTATTCATTTTTATTTATTTTTTTTTTTAGATGAGTGGGGAAGAGCCACCTGAATGCCTAGCTTAAAGAGAAAGCTTAAAGGTACATCTGCAAATTTCAAATGAGTACATTCAACTCCAGCATTAAAGTAATTCATATTGTGCTTACCATTCAGATGAACCCTTTCCTTGCCTCAAGGCATCAACTGTAAGAAAAAGGCCAGACAAAGGTATAATATTTTTTCAATACTCACCTACTAGGCAAATATCATTGTACAAAGTGCTTAAATTTAGGCTGATCAAATAATTTAATTTCTTAAACAACCCCCAGCCTTGCTCAGGGGCACCATAGTCGTGGTATTGAAGGTGGAAGAGAGTGCTGTACATTCACCCCCCCCCCCTACAATCCCTGCCGGTACGAGACTCGAACCCACAACCTTTGGGTTATAAGTCCGACTCTCTAACCATTAGGCCACAACTTCCCCGTCGATGATAATGAGCCATAAAAGCCTGATGTGTGAAATACACTACAAAAACTTCTTTTTTTTTCACTGATTGAATCAAGTTTTATTTATAATAATTAGATTTTCCTGACTATCATTTCATATGTCAGATTTTACAGGGCTTAACATTTTAATAGTATTATCTATAGTCAAATTACTTTTGAAATGCCTGTGATTGGCTACAGTACTCAACATTGCAAAATCGTGATTTAAAGGCACACTTGTACTCGTGTGAAGCATGTACACAAGAACCAATAACCACAAGAAAGAAAGGTTTAGGTTAAAGCAAGCGAGAGGTTTAAGGTATGCATGATGGTACATTCACCTTGCTTTTTGAAATACATCCAAGCTCACACATGGTAAAAAACAACAATTATGATATTGTCATAGACAACACGATCACACATCCCTAACTGTATGTAAATACTAGTAATTTACTCTACAAATTGAAATATCTAAAGCCTTCACAGAATCTTCCCACCATCCCACTTGTGACCCTTCAGTTCCCCCATCACAAGATTTACCTGAAGGTAGAATTTAAATCAGTGTGACTGAAGAATATGTGGCCTCCAACTTAAGCTTAAAAAGCGTGTATTCATCTTGCTTGCAGATGCTGAAGAGCCTCCCGGACCATCCTCAATGGCAGCAACAGAATATTCAAATGGTAAAGAAATCCGTAGATAAATTTAAGAATCAGTTCAGAGCAGATTCTTGACAAATGTACAATGAGTGGCACATGTATTACAAGTTATTTTTATACTACATGAGAGACATGCAAGTTCACTACTGTAATGCACACGCAACTGGTTACAGATCAAGGGCATTGTGTACAGTTCATTCAAGCAGTGGCAGAACATGCAAGATGTTAATTTTAACAAAATAAAGAGGGTTGATATTTTTATTTAATTTATTTACAAGTAGCACCATTTCAATGGCAATTTTTATTAGCATTTGGTTATTTGAACTTTAGCTAGGATGCCAAGATTTTTAAAGTCAAAAAGGTGCTAAGAGTGTCCCGTCCATAGCTGCAAGCTCCTACAGTGCTGTCCAAAGAAATCCGTGACGTACCTTAAATCTGTGATAAATGTATAAAAAAAAAAATGCATTTCTCAGTTTATTAAGGTAATATCATGATTTCAATAACCTTGGTGGTGACATCACAACAGATCATGCTTAACTTACCCCCAGGGACGGACTGAGAGTAAAAAACGGCCCTGGATTTTCTCCCAAATAGACTCATTTAAAATAATGTAATCATCAGGTTTTAGCCAGGTTTCTGTCAAACAGAGATAATCTAGGTTATGATCAGTGATCATATCATTTACAAAAAGTGCTTTCGTAGAAAGGGACCTGATATTCAATAAGCCAAGCTTTATCATTTGTTTATCTGTATTGCATCTGTTTTTTATTTGTTGAACATCAATTAAATTATTACTCTTAAATTGGTTTGGACGTTTTTTGTATTTTCTAGTTTGGGGAACAGACACAATCTCTATAGTGTGATATCTAGGTGAAAGAATTTCTATGTGCTGAGAATTAACTGATTTCTGTGACGTGAGGTGGATAGCAGCCGGTCGGTTTAGCCAGTCTGTCTGCTTCCTGACCTGGGCCCCAGTTAGGACTCCCTGAGCTGGTCGCATCCAAAGCCGTATCTAGAGCCCTCGCATTCTTACTGTCCTCAATTAAAGTTTGGATGCGTGTCTCTAATTCTGAAATCTTCTCTGTCAGCCTAACTATTTCCCTGCATTTATCACAAGTGAATCCCTCGTCGCCGACAGAGAAAGCTACACTATACATGTGGGAAGCGGTGCAAACAACAATAGCATGAGAAGAAGCCATTACTCACCGTGATTGATGAATGATTCTTACTTACCACAGTTGTTTGATGAACTTGTGGAAAAAAAAAACGGAGCGAGAAAAAAAGAAAAAAAAAAGAAAGAAAACTGCAATAGAAACGCTAATGACAAGCTAACGAATGCTAATGTGCTGCAGGTGCGTTGCACTCGCGGTTTTAGAATAAAACAGAATGATCAAATTAATCAGATTAAGTTGATAGATAATATCAGATATATGGTGGGAATTAAGTTATATTTTATCACTTTAAACAACAATGTGGAACCTTTTAATGTTTAATTAACCTTTTAATGTGGAAGCAAGCTCCATATCTCGAGATGAAAGAAAATTCGGTTTTATCTTTACAAAAATACAGTTCGGATGAAGAAAAAAAAAGGATAAAGGAGTTTGGACCAGATCAACCGTACTTGCAAATTCACTAGCAATCAAGTGTTCGCGGTCGCTTTTCCAGCACTTCTTATGGCAAACGGAGTTGGCAGGCTGGATGTGAGTCATGCCTTTTATTGTTTTCCGTGTTTGCTGTTTCAAAGTCATGGCACCGAAACGTTGTGGACAACAACAGGGGTTCG